AGTCATGTTTCCATCCTGGAATCTGCATACCTCAACTTTCAAGCATGTCTTCATACAGCAATGTAATGATTTAAATTACGGGGACTTGCCTTTTGTCCCTAATGTCCCCACAACATGAGTAAAACAAGCACACACTCACACACATCTTTGTTCAATGTCTTTCTGAGAGCGTAGCCAGACTTTCATTACTTAAACATTAACACTTGGTCAGTGGACCGTGAAGGAGGATAAACCACACACACATGGACGCACGCACGCACACACACACTCTCTGTATTGTACCTAAGTGAAGAGCAGAGAAGAGTTCGTCCGTTCTGAAGATTCTGACTGACTCACTGGCGTTTCTGTCCAGGTGGTACAACTCCAGATCAGAGCTGCAACACAACATCGGCATACATGTTATCATAAAACAGGAATAATAGCATCGAAATACACTTAAAGTCCTTAAAGTCAACATCTCTTTAAGCAGAAAAAAAATTCTATGTATATTTAAGGCTACGTACAATTACATGAAAAACATGTTTGACTATTTTAACAGAGCAGACATACTGCCGAGTGATGATACCATACTAACATATTCTCAGTCTCGACCCTGCCTTTGTACTTGCTGTACAAAAACTGGGCAGATATTTGATAATATAAGGACACAAGGTCATGACTAAAAAAAGTTCAGTGCTTCTGTTTTTAGGCGCTACAGTTTTGTTATCAGGAGATAAAAGTTCTTACTCACCCAAACATGCAGTCTCCAGTAAACGGATCACAGTCTCCTGCACATTCACATGGACGGCATCCGTATTCGTGAAAGCCCCAGTATCCCACCATGCACCTGTCACAGTGGGCTCCACCGACGCCTGGTTTGCAGATGCAGTTCCCGTTTGCGGGGTCACAGAGCGAGCCGTCTGCCAAGTGGAAGGGCATTGAGCCCATGGGGTGACAATTACATGCTGGGGAAGAAAAAGGTGAAATTAAATTAGATTGAAAGGTTTTTAATGGTAGATCATACCAAAACATCATCCTTGCACTATCTGACAGGCGAGGTACATACTGGACATGTTGTCAGTTCATTACTGAATTCATAGTCATAAATTCTTATGTGCGTGGTATGTTGTTGATCTGAATAATTCAGAAACTGATTTCCCCACACAACCATAACTAGGGTTTATAGAAAATGGTTAGAAAAAAGAAAAATATCAATCATTAGTGATTCTCTGGGGTAAATATCTTTTGTTGGAGAATGGCCAGAGCGCTTTGACATGATAGGACTCAAATGATCACTTATTAGAGCCAAAAGATGCAGAAGAGCATCTCAAACCTTGAAGCAAATGAGCTACAGCAGCAGAAAACCACATTAAGTGCCACTTTTGTTTGCAGAATCCTATTGAATCAATGCTATGAAGAATTGAGGCAATTCTTAAGGCAAAAAGAGTGTCAAATCTGGTACCAACGGGGTGCTGGTTTAGCTCAGTGTGTTGAGCAGGTGACCACATGCCATACGGCTGAGAGTGGCCGGCCTGGGTTCAAGTCGACCCGCTGCCCTTTGCGGCATGTCTTCCCCCCTCTCTCTGCCCCTGCTTTCCTGTCCTGTTTTCACGGTGTCTATCAAATAAAGCTGAAAAAGGCCCCCCAAAAATCTGGTACCAACAAGGTGTACCTAATGAAATACCTGTTCAGAAATACTACAGAAAAGACTAAAGGAAAGCAGTGAGCAGTGAGTCCAAAGGTCTGACAGTCTGCTGATTAGCAAATTGCTATTTATCACCTGCACTTAAGTATTTCATCAATTGCTCTATTGTCTGCTTTTGTGGCAGCCACTTAAAACACAAAGGCGTCTCTGTTTTTTTAATTACATGAAGACAGATGTTTATACTTCTTTATTTGTGATCCTAAGCTTTTTCCCAAAGTCGATCAATATGCTTTTAAGATCTAGAACTCAAATTAATCCTCCTCACATGGATAGATGAACAAATACATACAGTAAAACTCTCAGCCCTCTAATTGTGTACCGATAGGGTGTTTTTCCAACAACCTCCAAAAACAATGAACACACCTTATTACACACCCACCCATGTTTCCATTGGACATCTGAGAAAACTGCTGTCTGCTGGGACCCGGAGTTGTCAGGCCTCCCCCATAAATAAACCGCAGAGAGAAACAAAGAAGGGGTGTTGTTTGGACTCATTTGTCTTGTGTTTAATGATGCTTGAAGCCTGACTGCCAGTAAATGACTACTTACTGTACACCCAGAAGCTCCCTCAAGCTCCTTTTTCAAATAAATCATGGTGGAGAAAAAAGAAAAAACAACAACTTTAAGCCAGAGGTCTGAATCAGGCAGTTTTCTCAAACCGAACTGAATGTGTTAAATTCACATCGACGACTACAAACAAATGAGATGGCATGCTTTTAGAAACAAAGATTAGAGTTCATTCCTGACCTTAAAGCATGTTTGCCTTCAAACTGTTATCAGAGCGCTTCACGGACTTTATTTGATAAATTGTTCCGAAATAGAAATACAACAGTCAACATGAAAAGTTTTTAAAGCTTATCAGTTTATATAGGCGTTTTCCCCACCTCAGCAGTGAAATGCACACGAATGCTTGAAGTTTGTAGATAAACAGAAGCACCACTGAGTTTTTATGATTAAACTGCAAAAACTGAGTGCTGGTATAGCTCATGTGGGTTAAGGAGGCAACACATATGCTTTGCTATTGCAGAGTCTTGGGTTTGAATCTAACGTTGCCCTTTTGCTGCTACTCTCTCTCTCTCGGCTTTCTGTGCTATCAGAAGGTTAAAAAGCCTAAAAATGCAAACAACAACAACAACAAAACAAACAAACAAAAACAAACTCTATGCTAGTTAAAGTTTGAGATAAAAAGACTGAATTTGGTCTCAGGGGCAGCAGCCTAAGCAGAGAAACCCAAACCTTCCTCTCCCCAGGTCTTAGCCAGCCTAAGACCTGGGGAGAGGAAGGTTTGGAAGATGTAATCTCCTAAGTTTGTCCTGGGTCTGGTTTGGGGCCTCCTCTCGTGAAGAAATACCAAGACCATCTCACCCAGGAGCCACCCAGAAGGAATCCTAGTCAGCTGCCTCCTTTCGATGTGGAGTAGCTGTATTCCTAGCCCCTCCTGAATAATTTAATTCTTTATCCTACCACTAAATGTAACTGAGCCTCCAGGAGCTCCACAAATGATTTTTTAAGCTCCTAGCAAACACTCAAACAAAAACAAACCACAACAGTCACATAACTTACTTGGCAGAAACAATAAAGATAATCAATATCTATAACGTAAGCCATGTCCCAGCACACAGTTCTTTTCAGTTAGCTGCTCCCATTAACTGATCCATGTTGGGAGGTAAGCTAATGCCAGTTAAGATTAGTCACAAGAAATCTAGTTTTATCTAAATAGTTTTATAAAAAGGAACACATCATGCCACGATCTAAAGAAACACCTGACAAACAAAGTCACAGACATCTATCAGTCTGGAAAGGGTTACAAAGCCATTTCTAAAGGTTTAGGCCTCCAAGGAACCATGGTGAGAGCCGTTATACACAAATACAAAAAACATGAAACAGTGGTGAAGCGTCCCAGGAGTGACCGGCCAACCAGAAGTACTCCAAAAGTACAGTGATGACTCCTCCAGGAAGTCATAAAAGACCCCAGAAAAACACTAAGGAACCACAGGCTTCACATAGCTCAGTTAATGTCAGAGTTCCGAATCCTGAATCCGACTGAGATCCTGTGGCATGCTCTTAAAAAGGCAGCTCATGCTTGAAAACCTTCCAATGTGGCTGAATTACAACAATTCTGCAAAAGATGAGTGGGCAAAAATTTCTCCACGGCGCTGTAAAATACTCATTGCCAGTTACTGCAAATGCTTGTTTGCTGTTGTTGCTGCTAATAGGTGGACCAACCAGTTATTCGGTTTAGGGGGCAATCGCTTTTTCGCACAGGGCCATGTAGGTTCCCCCTACCCTTAATAATAAACGCCTTCATTTGAAAATGCATTTTGTGTTTACTTGTGTTCTCTTTGTCTAATATTTAAATTTGTTTGACGATCTGAAACATTTAAGTGGGACTTGAATGCTAAAAAATAGAAATGAGGAAGTGGGCAAACACTTTTTCCACACCGCTGTAAATACAATAACAGGCGACGGGAGTTACATGACCCAAACTGTGCCTTTGACCCAAGAGAACGATGTCAACTGTCAAACCAAACAGTTTATCAGACAACTCACCCACACAAAGATAAGATTGAACTCCATCAGAAGACCTAGCAATACAGTACCAATAAAATCATAAAGATATCACATTTATATCCTTTATAGATGTGGGCATGTAAAAAAGGCCATATCAGCACTCTCTTAGGAAGCATCCTGCACAGGTAAATAATTAATAGAGATCACAGCGCCACCTCAGTGCCATTTAAAACCAAGACACGTGTGACGGTGTGTTTGGCAAGCGTGTGAATTTTCATATTTGTGTGAAAATTTATGACCACTTGAAGGATTCACAATGCAACAACTCCTGTAAGCAAATATGTGCGTCTAAGAAACCTGTCAGCTGCAAGAGCTCTGACAATGAAGACTTTATGAGTGTGTGCTGAGACATGATACGACACCTGCCCGAACAACCACGAGAAAACCCACTACAGACATAAATCCCCACACACAAACACACACTGTAACTCTCCCTCCTGATAAACGGCTTTGGTGTGTACCAGCTTGCGTGAAGCTTGACAAGAGTGTTTTCTTTCGTGGGCCCCTCAGAGGCTGGAATGAAAAAAATGTTCCTCACAACGGAGGGAAATTCCTCCATTGTCAGCGAGCTGCTGCAGTGGGATTACACAACCTGAACCTTCATTTTAGGGGTTCTCCAAGCATGTTGTTGCTCCTTTTTTCTAATCAGTCAGCCTTCATTAGTTATTATCCCAGAGGTGAGTTTTTGGGTGTAAAGCACCGAACCTAATGACTGAAATCACACCTGCTGTAAAGAAGGCATGCATCTGTTTCTGTGACCTTATCAGAGATGCAGAGATATGAGAAAACATCAGAAAATCTGGAAAGACAATAAATGAGGTTGTATAAGTCCATACAGTATGCAATTTATCAACTACTCACTGTTCCTGAACTGCCAGACAGAACAGCAAGAGACTTGGTACACATGCTGCAGGACATAACAAGCTTAAAAAGTTATGAAACATCACAGGTGGCATGGTCTCCATATTTCAGAAACTGCTTGTCTACTGGAATTTCCCCAAACATCCATCTCTTGGGCAACAGTAACTCAAATAGCCACCTGCTACAAGCAAGGGATGCAGAAGAGCATCTCAGCCCTTAGAGCTGATGAGCTACATCAGCAGAAAACCACACCAGCTGCCAGTCCTTACTAAAACTGGACAATGGTCATATAATGAAATATATGATGATATAATGGTGTTTGTTTAAACACCGCCTGAGCATTGTCGCTGACCATGTCCATCTCTTTATGACCACAGTGTTCCCATCTTCTGATGGCTGCTTCCAGCAGGATAACACAGGACAATGAGTTCACTGTACTCATACAGCCTCCACAGTCACCAGATCGCAGTCCAATAGCTCTCATTTGGGATGTAGTGGAACAGGTGATTTGCATCATGGATGTCAACATGGACCAAAATCTCTGAGGAATGTTTTCAGCAACTTGTTGAATCTGCGCCACAAAGAGTTAAGGCAGTTCACAAGGCAAAAAGGGTTCAACTTGGTAGCAGGAAGTGTCTATAAAAAACAGACAAAGCCACTGTGACATCGCCCAATGGTTAGTGAATTCATACACAAGTGAAGCTTTCAGATGTGTTTCCACCATTGCTATTTTAGTGTACTGAAACCAGACATGACAAGTAGATCTGAAACCCAGAACACTGCACACTCATACAGTAACAATGTATCAACCATAAGGTGATGGAGAAGCACACCCTGTTTTATCCTCCTGTTTGTCTCCAATTAGGAATATGTGTTTAATAAATGACTATAAATCCTGATGAATTAATCATCTGTAGCCCTAGTTTTAAGTTAATTTTAACTGTGTTTACTAAGGTCACAGATTCAGGGAGCTGAAGGGTTGCTTTTGACCTTTCTTGCAACCAGAGGAGTCACCCCCTGCTGGCTGCTAGTTTCATGGCAGGACTTTCTTCTAGAGTAATGCTGTTACGTTAACTAACAGCGACTCTAACTACAACTCTAACTACAAAGAAGTTATTTTTTTAAACTTCATTGTTAATTTTCATTCTATTTTTTCTGCTCATGAACTTCTGCTTTGAAGTGTTGAGTTTGGCATTTTGCCTCAGCTATCTTAGTTTGGATAAGCAAAGAGTGGATCCTCCTGAAGAACCTAGGACTCTGCACACTCATACAGCAATAACCCTTCTGTCACAAGGTTTCTCTCTTACTGTCGATTATCATTTATTTTACTCTGAATAGAATCATAATTTCCAAAACGCATAAGGCTGTGTAGTAAAAATGACTGGAAACTACTGAATTATATTATAAACTAAACTGATGTGTTAATGAGGTCATAAATCAGGTAAGAAATTGGATCATTTTGGATTCGTATGACCAAAATACTCCCCACCCCTCTGGTGGCCATTCATATACAGTCTGTCTTTTGTAGAGCAGAGCTGCAGACACTTTTTCTTGTTTTTCAGACATGATTTATTCATGCCCAGACACAGATTTGCTGCTGAGTATTTTACAGGTTCTTATAAATGTCTGCTTGTATTTATCTTGAAATGAATCTCTTGAATTATATAATGCAAGAATTTCACTCACATGTGCTGTACCAATGTACCTGCACATGTGATGTGACAATAAAAGTGATTTGATTTGCACGATGAAATCAAACCCTGAAAGACGGCAAATTGGGCTGATAGCCAACATGTTCTTCCCTCTGTGTTTTTGAACGGTCTGCTGCTACTTGATACTGTTTAGGTTTTAATGAGATTTGCTTGCGCACGCACACACACACACGCACACACACACACGCACACACACACACGCACACACACACACACACTTTCCTTGGCGTTCATTTCCAGCATACCTGTGGGGATGAGTTCACAAATCTGACAGATAATCAGAGGGAGACTGTAGCCACCGGTCTGTGTTTATGGATGACTATCTCATGTTTACTTAACACTCACCTCTTCACAACCCCCCCCCCCACACACACAGTGACGGAGAAAGGACCGTCACACATTCACAGCTAACAATCAAGCTCTGAGTCACATCTTAAAAATGGCAGAACAAACTGAGATGGACAAGCAGGAGTTTTATGATGAACTTTGAGTCAAGACACAAGTATGCCTCCATCTGATGATTAACTATGGAGTAACTGGATGGAGAATGGGGCATCTGCTGCCTCTGAGACACACACACACACACACACACACACACACACACACACAGGTGCCCGTGAGGACTGAGTGTTATGCAGCATGTTCTGGCTTGTGATCTCCGTCCTCTGCATTCCTGAGAAAAATCAAAGGGCTGTGCCAGTGTGGTGCATTTGTCACCACTGGTCTAATGCTGTGACTCCATATTGAATGTCGTGTGCCAGTGAAATTCCTATTATCATTCCAAATAGATAGCAGTTTTATCAAATATACTGTAGAAAGTAAATGGACAGTCAAGAACACGGCTGAGCTTTTAGTTGCTCTTTCACATTTAAAAAAATACTTCTGACCTCTATGAAAGCTCTGAGAAATGTTTCCAGCACCTTGGTGGATCTGTGACATGAAGATCTAAGACAGCTCTGAAGGACAAATGGTCCAACTTGGCACCAGCAAAGTGTTACCAATGAGGGTATATAGACTTACATCAAGGGTGTCTAACATAGATTAATTCATGGGGCACATACAGTTCATTTTGTGGGCTTGTTCATTTTAAATTTACATCTGAAACATTTGACGATCTCTAATAAAGTTGATGCCACCAACTGTGCTCCTAAAAGTCTGCCTCCCACTGTAGTTTAGTAAAATGTGTGTGCAGCTTACGTTTGCAGGAGTCGGGGGCGGCGTGCGGTCGGTTGGGATCTCTGTAAAAGCCTGGCTTGCATTTCTCACACTGTCGCCCTTCAGTGTTGTGCAGACAATCGCAGATGCCTCCGCTTCGCTGGCCAGACTCTCGCCACGCTGTCCAATCAAAGCGGCAGTTCTGAGCATGTCCGTTACACTTGCACTCTGGTGTGAGAAGAAGAAGATAGTCATCAAGAATGAAAATATCAGACTGGCAACTGGCTATATGTACAAATGTTTCAGAGAGCATTTGGAGGCTGTTCGTTCTGATATTTTAGTAAAGTATGAAGGTTTTCAATAACCTTTCCTAGATTTAAGATTTACAGGCTAAGTTTTAATACAAGAGTCCTGTGGTGGAAAAAGGTGTGAACAATTTTGTTTGACTCACTCCGACATTCATGCGGCGCTCCCGTCAGTCCATCGGCAGGCTGCCACGGTCTGTCGTTGTACAGAGGAGCGCAGCGCTCGCAGTGATCACCTGCAGTGTTGTGTCTGCACACACACTTCCCATGGACCTGTGAGAGAGAGCTCATTAGCAACAAGCAGCATGATAGACGGAGGTAAAGATGGACGAATAGCAGGAACAAAGAGGTCAGTGTGATGGAAAGGACAAGCTTCTTCACTCTCTCTTAACCACTTTCGTCCTTTTTTAATCGCTCCTATTCTCTTGGTCCAAAATCAGTGAATGGAGATTTATTGTTTGGCTTCATGGCTAGAAACGGGAATGGGCCTCAGCTCTGAAAAGCCTGCGTGTGTGTGTGCGTTTATGAGTATGTGTGTACGAGTGCAAGTATGCAGCGCTGAGAGCACAATAACAATCTCCTTGTCATTCCTGTGAGCTGGAATGCCATGCATGCTGGATAATGATTGAAGGGGGGGGGGCGCAAAGCATCTGAGGAAGCTCTTTATTTGTTTGTGTTACACCGTGCAACTGCAATGTAGGACACAATTACACGGCAACTGCAGGGGTACACTCGCAATAATCAACGTGCACACAGGCGTGCAAAATAATTGCAAACGCACACAGATTCTTTGCACTCATTTCCCACGGTGTCGTGATGCGTCATACCTTGTCCCCGGTTCAAAAATCCTATAGGAGCACGGCCACATGCAGCATGCCCTCTGCCTGAACTGACCCCAGATCAGCCCCGCAATGTCGAGGTGAACACGCACACACATGACTGGTTTCACACACCGGTTTTAATCACACTAATAGGAGGAGAAATTGCACAAATGAGAGGTCCGGGTAATCAGGAGACATGATTACACGTTCAGCAAAGAGTAGTGATTAATATAAAGTGTGCAAAGAAAGGAGGGGAAAGAGGAGAAGCAGAAAAAGCCAGGAAAAAACTCTGGCTTAAGTCCACACGGCTGGTATTTCAACCCACATGTTTACCATACTGCGATATGCCATAGTTAACACACACACACACCCAATGATGCAAACTCATCAAGACTGTGGACAAGGGGGGCTGGCCTGTCTGTGCATTTATGTACTTTTACACAAAGACCATTACCGGTTCCCAAAAGTTCCCAAAGAAGTACAAATATTTTAGTATTTGCACGGCAGTTATAAGTAAATACCACAGCTGTAGGTGTGCTTGATTTATCTCCATAACAGCTCCACAAAAGCTTTGAGACAGATGAAAGCATTACAGGCTCATTAACTATTACCACTTTATAAAATGCCTTTTTCTGAGTTCAGGTTTTACATAGCTGCGGTTTTCTCGTGTTAAATGTAACATAACAAATAAAGGCCTATTACAGCTCTACCAGGGCCTGATGTGACACTGGACTGGTGGGCACGTCTTGCACCTTAGGACTGTTGACTCAGATTATACTTAAAACCTTAGGCTGCAGTCTCACAGGCCCAGAGACAGGAAGTCATCATCTTCTCTCTCACCGGAGCCTTTTGGTAATGGAGCAGTGAGTCACCCAGACAGTAAATGGTGAGTGTAGCTGCCAGCAACCGCTCGCCAACCGGTCAGGAATACACATCCTTCCCCAGGGACCAGAGGTCACCAGCTGGTCTCTGGCTTGTGTTAATGAGGCCTGAGGTAGAGCGCTTGGCAGCTGACTCCAATCAGCAATTAGCTGAGGAGCGCTGAGGCTCCAGGAAAGGACAGTGCCTTTGCAGGATTGTCACTGTGTGGTTTGTGACGTTCATGAGAATACATAAAAATGCATAAATAAAAGGTTTAAAAGGCTTTTTTCTCCCTTCTTCTACTGCACATGTACAAAGTTACAGAACATTTTGGCTTCATTTATAGCTTAATCCTGAGCCAGCATTGAGCAGTGTCTCTGGGTCCTCTCAGAAGAGGAAATTAAAAAAATATGAATGTTGAACTTTTAACCAAATAGTTATTATGTAATCTCACTGTTAATGCCATATATTTGTGCACATCTGTAACGCTGATGGACATTGGAACAAAAGGAACCGGATAAATGCTGCAATGAGTGACACCCCTCTTGTATAAGGCCCATTGGAGTTAGTGTGAAAGACAAACGAGGCAAAGATTTAAGTGAGAGAAATGAAAACAGTCGGATGGACTGGAGCATTGCTCATTAGTTAAAGTGAGTGTGACCCCTGTAGTACTATTTGTTTAAGTAGGGGCAATAAACATTTTTGTTTATTACTTAAACAAAAATGGCAAGTTTACATTATAAGCTATAACCGAGCAAAGTGATCGAACATCAGACTGAATTTAAGGACCTATACAGTCGTCATCTCCATCAGCTCTTACACCCTGCTTTCAGCTTCTCCTTCCTTGACACGTCTTCTCTGTTTTCACTCTTTCCAGTTTGATAGTTGTCCTCTCGCTTTCTCCCTCGTCGTCTCTCACATTTTCTCTGGCTAATTTTGAATCCTCCTGTTTTTCCTCACAGTTGCCGTCAGTTACAGGTGTATCTGACAGCTCAGGTGAAAGCAGGATTCATACAGATGAGGGGTCGTTTAATTGAAATGATTCCACTGTGTATTATTGTTGTCGGGACATCATTCACTCCTTCATTGCCTCACTGGTTGCGCTCGTCTCTGAGCTGCTCTCGGTAGGTAATTACTGAAATTAACTTTTATTAAATCACCTGGAGAACTTTGCACTCCTTTTTTTCATGTTCCCATGGCTCACTAAAAGCCTGGCCATTATTTATTTTATTTTATTTTTTTTCATTAACATTTAGGAATCATTGTACAGTACCATCAACTTCAACAATTTGTTACTACACGAACTTTTTTTTTTAACAACAAAAATATCCATACAAAAGGGAAAAAAAAACAAAAAAACCCCCCACAGAACAACAACAACAAAACATGTGGAAAGTGAGATTTTATTACCCTTAATATAACTAATATATCCTCCAGTCTTCTAGTAGTTAACAAAGTCAAAATCAAAATCTGGCCTGCATTTTACTTTGCACTCCTAGCAGTTTTTTTTAAACAACAAAACAGGGTTTTGTGCCGGCATAGATCTCATAGATTGATATCTTTGGCCACTTATTTTGTGTGCATAAAATAACGTTAAAATGACAGAAAATTTCAACAACATAAGCTATATATTAGGGGTGCAACAATACTCGTATCGATATTGAACCGTTCGATACAGTGCTTTCGGTTCGGTACGCATATGTATCGAACAATACAAAATTTTTAATT